CGGCAATGACTTCAGAACACAACAACAATTAAATGAACACACGAAGTTGATTAGTGAATGAATAAACTGCTGAAGCAAAGAAGGAACAATAAATGAAATTTTTAAGCATCCACTCTATTACAGTAAAAAATATTCAAAATACGTTCATTCTATTTCCTGACTGTGAAATGAACATTAAGTAGTAAAAGTAGTAGATAGATACATAAACTAAACGCATAATTTTACGAACATCGTTTTTCTCAAATTTTTGAATCATTCAGAACGAAATGCATAAATTTTATAAATACGAATTACCAAAGCTTTCGAATTATACAGATATTTTTTCAACTGCTTACACTGTATTTACACGAAAAAGACTAAAACTGCAAAGTAAAGTTGCATACTTCGCAGCGACATTGCGATACTTTAATACGGATGGCAGTAACGAGTTGCAACTTTACACCGAAGTACTTAAATGTCTGCGGTTCACTGAATGCATACACCAAGCAAAATTGCTCCTATCAGTTGGCAAATAAACAGATAAAAACAATTGAAATATAACTCGATGGTCTGGTGTAGCTAACGAGAATCGCACCTTAGCGATTTTTCCTAAGGTAAACATAATCCATCAACTGCTGATGCCGAAAGCGCGGTGTTTGCATCTTATGCACTGCAAGCGTTGAAATAACATTGAGCTGTACCCCGCTCAAACGCCCCCCCCCCACTCCAGCGGGTAGAAGCAAGGAGATGGAGCCATGTTGTGCGTCAACGCGATGTAATGATTGCCACTCGTCTTACACCACCGTAGTATTTCTGCTGAGTAAATTGCTTTACTTTACATTATTCGCCATGTAAATCCGGTATCAGCAGTTGAAACAATTTTTGCCGGAGATAGGATCAAAAAGCTGGAACTGTTTATAGCTACTCCGGACCATCAGGGTTACATTTTGCTGTTTTGTCTATTCAGATATTTTGTACGAAATTTATTTTAAAAAATGGAATTAATCACGTTTTTTATTATGCAAAGCATAATTCATTATCATCGAAACTAGCCGCGTTACAAATTCAATTGATTCTTAGAAGCTTTAGACTGATTCACGTGCGCGTGTAATTTTCCATACAGAGCTAAAAAAAGGAATGCCAAATGAATCTGCACTGGAGATTAGGCGGTCAACCAGCATCTTGAAACAGACCAATCACGGAACAAACAAAGCTTGGATTTGGTCGTACTTTTTTGCCACCGACATTTGTAACTGCTTAGGAGAAATATATCATAGGTTCAAAGGTTGTCATATCGACCCAACAGACCTTTAGCATTGACACAGAAAATGATTCAATTATAATTAAAGCTACAGTAATACTGTCAGCATATCTGAGTATAGTATGTCATTATCATAAACAATATTAATGTCTATTATTAAACTGAGAGAGGGGCTATCCGTTTAATGGAGGATCGGACTTCAGGAAGCAGTAACTAGAGCGACGATCCATAACTGAAATAATGGGAAGGGGACATGAATGAAAGATCGTTTATTATGCTCATCATTGTTAGCGTTGACAGCCCATATTACTTTGACCCCAAATTTTCATTTTGGAGAGTTGGCGATGTTCACGTTTCACCGTCTGAAAATGAAGTTGGGGATCCACCAAGGAAAGCAATAGCTCTCTGACAGAAATCACACACACACACAATTCATACTTGAGAAAATAAGTTGCAGCGACTAGCGATGAGAAGATCGATTTTTTGCAGGCAGGCAAGCTTCAGCTGGTCGAATTTCGCCTTGTTTTTCCGCACTTGTGCCTGTACAGCGCGGTACTTCTCCAAACGTTGGTAAACGTCGGGGTCCAGTTCCTTTGACACGTCATCCATCCATAGCAACGATCCGCGGTACTCCTGACGCGCTTTCTCCGTGGCGTCGACGGTAATCGCACAGTCCGCGACCGCCCTGTCAAGGAACACCTCCACTTCAGAGTAAAGTCTAGACAACGGCACACGAAGTGCTAACCTGAAACACAAGAAGTGTTAAAGTACACTAGCAAGATATTTTTTTAAATGAAATTACTAATCATAGCTTATAAATAAAAATAACCAGTCGGCAAGCCAACGACACATAGTTAATCATTGGAGAAAACAACAGATGACTAGTTCCACCACTGCGTGTGAAATTTTCCGTGCCTACGTCGCACCTGTTGACTTAATACATTACAATTACGAACAGAACAAAACACTGCACACATCATGAGATATTATATCTCGAAGATCACAACTATATACAGTTAACACCTGTTGAATTGTATACTGTTACCCTGGTGATGATGCTGCTGTGCATCATCGGAAAGTCTCGATTATATCAACGGTTACCGTGTTTATGGTCATATGGAAATTTTCTTTTGAAGAACACCTAATACCATTAAAAATTACAACCGGTGCATATAAAAATTAATTAATCCATGATCTTTTCTCTTTGAATTGGATGTCTGAGGATGAACTGAGTCGCGTCGAAAAGCGGAAAATACATAGTAAATTGAGGCACATCTGTTGTTTGCAAGGATTTTATAATTTAAATTTAAACTGTAACTTTAGTTAAACCTTTGAACTAAGCTTTAATATCATTCTAATTTAATTCAGCCCTACAATTGATAACAATACCCGTAAACGGGAATGGGCCAATTCCAGCGATAGTGCAACGCTAGTCTGACCCGTGATCATGTTGAAGCAAGCTTCATGCAACGATCAGTGCCCAAAAAATAAATTAACCTTCATATGACCACGTAGGTCAAATACCAGAGGTTAAGCTGATAAGAACAGATACTAACTTTGATCTTAGCTTTTCAGCCGAGAAGCGATAAATAACAAATTTACACGTTCAATTTATGTCGAAACAACATGAATTTGTCAAACGATACGCAAAGAACCGTTAATACCACGTCTTTAAATGATTGGCCGTAACAATAAGTAGGCGGTGCTTGATTCGGCATGCAATTAACCGATGTAACGAGTATTTGAAAGAACGTTATTTGTTTGGGCGATGCAGTTGCTATCAGTATGACGTCGTAATGCAGTATTCTTTGTATGAAAAACAATGCTACATAAAAAAGAAAAATCCTCTTCGCCATCAATGTTACGAACTGACAAGATTCCAGTTAATCGCCGTGGTTCAGCAACAAGTCTTGATTGCAAACGACAGAGGTTATATAACTTCAGTGGAACGTTACTGAAGTTATTTCCACAAAGCATGAGAACTTGTGCTACAAAATCGTCACGAATATGGGCGTACTTGGGCTTAAAGGAAGCTAAATATCGTTGCACTGCTACCACGGTAAAGTAACCAATCTGATTATCTGACAGTCAGTCTGACGAGAGAAAAAACACGTCTCGGAATGATGAATTTACAGTGCAGCTTGAACCGCATCATATATGCGATCAGGGTATTCAAGTCTTCCGGTAAAGAAATCGTAAATAACTTGCAAACAATGAATTTGCGAATAACCGAGTTTATTCTGTTTCTTTTAGCGTTCCTTGGGCCATTTGCCAAAAAAGCCACTCTTAAGCGTAATGATTATAATGAGAGTGAATTTATACCAGTCTCTGCATTCGATATCGACCGCAATGCGCTATGTCTACGGAAAGTCATGCGATTTATTTATGCCACTTCAACCGTTTGATTATAAAGGTAGTAGGAAAGTTTGTCGTGACGAACTCTCATCAAGAGAGGGCAGTATAAGTCACAAACGAGTTTCATACAGTCGCTCGACTACTATCACCTGTTTGTTCAAACAGCTGTCACCAAGTGCAACCAAACAATGTCCTCATTCGCTCAATTTCCTCACGGAATAGCCGGCACCGTAAGATACATTTCTCTGGAAAGCAACGAAGTTTGCCAGGCTTACTGTAGAGCTTTGCCATTAAGTTGAAGACGCAGTGATTAAATCGTACAAATGACGCCAGATGCTTGATCTTGAAGACTTATGGCAGACTTGTCAACGATTACACGAATCTATTGTATCAGCGAATCTAAGTGACTGGAATAAACGCGCATCGCGAGTCTGTTCAAGTCCCCGCCACCATACACAAAGCATGACTCATATTGGACTATATTAGAGACAAGTGTTCGCCAAACTATCAAACTCAGCATCGGCAAACGAAGACGCAATGTATGTGTTTACCATGACCACGCTGAAGAAAGCTGGCAGGAAGGGGATAGCAGAACGTAGAACAAGGTACAGCACATCTTCGGTCGAATATGTGAGTAAAACAAGCCAATCGCAAAGGTAAGGCCCAGTCATGATTGATTCATGCAGTTATTGCACTACCGCCATCCTTGATGTTGACAGCAGAGCAGCGATCAGCGCTAAACACCAGAAAACACACGAAGGCAACAATAGCATCTTCGAGTTCGACCGCCTCATGAGGGTACAATGCCACACTCTGAGCACTAATGCACACGAAGGCAGCATGCCATAAAAATCATTCAATGTTACCCCAAAAAAAACCACGTTACTCCCCCCCCGAAAGGTCTATATAGAAAGGTCGTGTTATTCCGAAACCGCATAAATGGAGTTCTCATGAATGGTAAGGAGAAGAATGGGGTATGATCCATCGATCCACATCTGGAGGGGCGTCGCGGACTTCAGGGACAGGGAAAACACCGATAGTTAAAAAACAGTCTTGATCCTGGTAACAGTCGAGATGCATAAACGTGGTAAACATGTCAAAAATGCTATTTCAGAACGGGCCAACACCATCCAGGCCAATCGCACCGCACCCAGCGATCAACATCCGGCATTTTACCAGCAATCACATTAATTAGAGTTAGAGGGAAGAGCCGGAGAACTGCGCATCCATCGAGAACAAATGTCTGCTCTTCGATTCCAAACAGCGAGGAACGATTCTTAGGTGGAATTCAGATCGCCACCCAAGATTGGCCATCGTTTCAAAAGTGACAACGCAGTAATGTTCTGCATCCGGTGTCACGACTGGCCGGCTCTACAGGATATTTCCAACAATCAACACCAGTCATTCT